ATGTAATATAGGAAAAAAGGTATATTCACTGGATTTTATTTTCACTGAATCACACCTTCAGCGAAAATAAATTACAAGCGGAAATAAAGTATTTTACAGTATTAGTGCAAAAGCCAAAAATTTGCTAATTATGCAAATTAGGTATTTAATATGCAGATTTAAAACCAAAACTAATCAGGTTCATCCTAGAGCATCTACATACCAAGTTTCTTTGAAATGTTGCGATTAGTACTTGAAATATCAAAATCCAATAATATATCCAATACATACAGATGCACCAACTGCAAACACTCCCATTGTGTGCTTCGTCACAGAATATTAGACCCAAGGCACCCGTGATGGAAACTTAGGGTCAAACATTTCTGCCTCGGAACATACATGACACGCAAGGCACATGTAATCTCTCTGGGGTAAAGAATTTTCTCATAAAGGATGAAATCTTTTTAACATTATCTTTATTTTGGGTAGAGCATTCATGGTTGATACACACATTATTAGTGAAATAGGACTGACATTTCAGGAACCCAATATGGGCATGACAAAACTAAACACTGCCCTCTACAGTTCAGAAAAGTTGAATTTCTGTAAAACTACCAGTTTGATTTCACCGGAGATGGAATGAAGGATAACGTTGCATTTTACAAATTTGAACGTAAATGTTTTATTGAGTGTACACAAGAGTAAACCCAATGATATTGAAACTTTCATGGAAGATAAAAGTCAGTGCATAGTTCAGAACAACTTCAAAAAACAATGAAAAGGTTATACAAACAGTATTAATTGAATGGACTGAAGTTGTGGTATTTTTTACTATTCAATTATTTAGCCAACATGAATCACCATTACATGCAAATGAGATGTAAATCATATGCAAATCAGATACAAATTGTACAACAATCCAACACAAAAATGTAAATTAGATACAAAACATGGCAAAGCAGGTATTGCTATTATTTAGGAGTCGTAGATTTCTTGTTACTGAAAACCAATTTTTCTATATGTGAAACTTTTGCTTATCCTACTTTATCTCAAGCACAATTTTTAGTTGATTATCTCTGATCTGGCGTAATAAAAAAAGTGCTACAAAAATTCATTTCATGTACATGCAAATACAATCCATCTTCAACTAAATTGTTCGCTAATCAAAAAGACTGCTCTTCATTTTTGCAAGATACACATGGCCATATTTGTCAAACTGTATTGGATACACAATTAACCTTTACCATCTTGTGCACACATAACATACACTTGTTTATTATACATCTGTCACTGTAACGCCATAAGTTACAGCGTACCGTCATTTTACGGGGTATTTTCATACTACCATATTAGGAAATGCGAATTCCAAATATGGAATGATTACGCGCGTAAGCGTCTTCTAATAATAAAGACAAACATGGCTGCCACCAGGATTTGACCGGACTCCACACAAATAAGTTCGCTGATTCTGTTCTAAATAAACTCTTTGGATTTCGGCATTCCCATGATGCATCATTGGAAGGAAAAGATGTATAATAATAAGGTTATTATGAAGATACCTCAAAGTATGCACTCAGACAATACGCTGTCGCATCGAGCTCCGCTGCGCGTCAGTCGATATTGCCGCTGTACTGTCTTCGTGCATACTTTGAGGTATCTTCGTAATAACCTTATAATATATCATTTTTCGTACTTCAAGAACCCACATTATGCTCTAAATCGAACGTAAAATAGGACAAACAAAGGTCATAGTGCTGTCATACAATGGATTTGGTGTATTTTCATCAATTTTTACCAATTTTGATGAAGTGAGGGTATCTTCAATGCCAGGTTCTCGGAAAGATCCATATTTTGACATTGAACTACAATAAAAATCAAGTTCAAAATTAAATTATTCAATTTTTGTGGCAGAGGTCCGTTCCACACATTACAACATAATGCAAGTTCTCGTAGAAGTACTGAAAACCATTTATAGAATTGTTATGAATGCACAATAGACATGTACTTGGTTTGTAATGGCAGGGTGATAACAAAATAACAAGTGTACATAGCTGAATAAATAATCAAAATAACAGACCACAGGATCTATCCAGTAATGATTTTTCTTTTTAAAATGCATCCAATTTCTCAGTAGTTCATCTAACTCAGAATGTGCACATGAAAGGCAACACCTCAAATAACCAAGGATGAATTGAGACAATTACTGGATAATCAGAAATTTACACTTTACGGTAATTATCCAAGTAACTCTACTGCAAATTAATTATCCAAACAATACCAAGACATGTCCTGGCCTGTATACCTAGTGTGTAAAAAGAATGTCTATAAGACACTGATCAGGTTGAACCATTGGTGCATAGAACAAAGGTTGCTGCTTACCACTGTATTACCTTAGTAACACACAAATCATAGCCAGTATCGTCTTTATTTTACTAAGATCAGCATTTTCTTTTAAGATGGATTGGTTTCTAATGGAAGAACTGTAATACTGAGCTGCAAACCTTCTCAAGAAATATTCTGATGCTGAAATTGGCCACAAAGTTGGATCCATTTAAGATTAAACCAACAGTAGTACTACATGCCTTTTTTTAATTTCTATCACTTCCCCCTTTAAACACATAAGATTTTGCTGAAAAATTGAATCGCTATATAGAACAGCATCTTCAACCAATGAGCATGGACTTTTATCGATGGTAATATTTCATGTTTCAATTTTCAAAATCAGCTTTTGGAAGTCACAATTTGGTATCTATAACATAATCATTTTGAATTAGCATACAATTTTCTTTAATCAAAATAAGAAAAGAGAAAAAATGGTTTTACAACTTTATCCTATATTGATGCACACCCAACCAATTGAGTGTGGTACTTACTAGAGATGTGATTTATTAGGGAAGGGAAGGGAAGGGGGCAATGGGAATACATTCAGTCACTTGAATCCAATTTTTGGCCAATTTTTGCACCATAGAAATATGAAGGCACATCTAAGAGTAGTGTTATAAAAAGACATTTCATAGTTCTAATAAATCCTAACTCTGCAACAATGAAAACCAACACACACAAAAAGCTACTTCAAAAAATTCATAGCAATTTTAATCCTAATTTGAATACTAAAATCCGTGACTGTTGTAAAACGTCAGACGACTTTTCAGAGTGCACTTTTAAAATTCTTTCTGAGCATTTACATTACTTACATTGCAACTGTTTCTATGGAAACACTGAGATGTCCCACTAACTCTACCACTAGTCTTATAACAGTCTATAAAAATTAATTGTTCATAATACAAGTTTTCTGGTATGTTACATGAGAAGTTTTCTATCAAATTATTGGTGGAGAAACTTCCCAGACCCTGCCACTAAAATACAATTTGCTAAGAATAATGTAAATACAAATTGAAACTGGAAAGACTAAGAATTTGTTAAAATCAATCAACACAGCACCATAATTATCTTCTACCAACCTGACAGTAGAGTGCGCTCTCTAGTGTCAAGCTTCTAACAAATGAAAGTTTTCAGTGATAAAAAAAAATCTCTTGAACTAAAATGAGAAATTCTTCTCTGCTGCTATTTCATAATTTCTATTATTTTTAATCAGTCAATCATTTCCTATCACTCAGTATAAAAAGTTAGTGTTAAAATTTAATTTACCCTATCCTATACACTCCATACTAAATTCAGTATTTAACCCTTTACACTTTTTCAAGCATTGTTTTGAAGATATAAAACTAAATAAAAATCCCCTTCTGCCATACAGATTTGCTATTCGGTGACAGTACAATCAATATGTAGGGGTGCAACTGTTATTCCTCCATAGGAATGCACAAAACAGTAGCCACACAATACACAAACCATGATGTGTAAAAATATACTAAAATAGGGAACAACGTTAAATTAAGGGACATCTTTTTTTTTTCTGACAGTTAAGGGAATGTAATACGTAAATTGCAATGATTTGGGACATTTTTGTAAGGCATGCACAATTTTTACAGGAATATATTACCATGGTTACATTTCAATGCAAGTTTTAAAATAAAATATGCATCATTATCATCCCATGCAAATAGTAATGTAGACGAACCACATTCTAAGACTTCATGATTGGATGCATATCAGCCATTATCTGATTGGATAACTAAGAGCCAATCAGACACACCAATTGATACCAGATAAAAATATAACTGCACATCCACAAACCTACAACCCATATCTACCTTACTAAGGTCGTAATTTAATTTTGTTCACAATTAAAAAAAAGTTTTTCACTATAATTCCTTTATTTTTATCGTTTGCCACTGCTTTCGAACCCAACTTGACAATTAACGAAGGACAATTGATGTTTGCGACTATGCGACTCCATCTGGGACATTCCAACTACAGCATGAGAACATCCTATTTTTGAACAGTGCAGATGAGAATACTTCTTCTTGTATTTACAATCTGCATAGTTACAACTTTCAGATGACCCGTATTGTTTAAACCCAGCTGCTTCAACAGCGTCCATTTTAGCATGCAACTTGCGATGCGCAGTGACTTTGCTACTGTCTGTGCAAACAAACAAACATTTTAAACAGTGAAAGTGAGTATTTTTCAAAGCAAACTCACACATTTCTCGCTCGCAGTGAATAGAACCTTTGAAACGCTGGAAATCATCTAACACTATGCTGTCTACTCTATCGTGGTGCTGGGCATGCTTGTACATCTGGGTTCTTCCTGCAAACTTGTAGCCGCACTTATTATGCTTACAGTGGTAATGTGTCGCACCTAATGAAAACTGACACATCGAGTCGCCGCAATCTTCATGCCGATCATAACGTTGGAAGCGGTCTCGAACAGACTTGTCATCGATAACTTTAGACTTTGAGGTTTTTGGCATCTCAGGTGAAGACACAGCAGCTTTAGACTGTATTGGTTTTTTAGTGCTGATTATTTGTGGTTGTGGTTGAGGTGACTGAATGAGTACAACTTGATGCTGAGTGTTAGCAGTTTGTAGCTGTATAGGACTGACATAAAGCAAAGTACCTTGAGCATTAGATGCAGAGCTTGGAGCCAGAATAACAGCATTACTAGGGATTCCAGTAGCTACATTAATGAATGAGCTGGACAGTGTTGAGTTGACAACAGTGCTTGTAGGCATAACAGTATTAGCACTGACAAATATGGTGTTGTCATTGTTAGTTTTGTTATTGTTATTGTTCATATTGGCTGTGAGCTGTAAGGGAGCATCATCATCGTCATCAAGAGGTGGAAGTGGGATTGTGAAAGGAGGCAGTGGCTGTGAGGTAGCTGTAGTATGAGGTGTACTAGTAACAACAGATGATGGCGTTGCAGCATACTTGGAGGTAGATGCAGCCACAGTACTAGTAGCATTAGGCATTGTAATCAAAGAAGGAGTCGATGCGGCATTTGCTAACGTAGCATTAGATTCAGGTGTTACACAACTTTTTGGTAATATATTAGCAGGTTTCTGTAATCCAAGAGATTTCATCTGGCGTACAGTAGGGCGGCGACCACCTTTCACTTTAATTATCTTTTCCTCCAACATAGGAGTATCTTCTTCAGGGTCATCAGCGTTTGCAGGACCAGTAGTGACTTTAGTGGCCGTGGCTAATGTTGCCATTGCTTGTGGCTGCTTCTCAAAATTCTTTCCATAGATTCTTCGTAAGTGTTTTCTGGCATGGGTCTCCATCTGACTCTGCAAAGTAAATGAAAACTTACATCCTGGCCTGATGCAATGAAAGTGTTTCTTGATCATGTTATACTTGCAGCCAGTTCGTTTGCAGTCCACTTTGCGATTCAACTGCCGGTACCCATCATAGGCAGCGTTTTCATTCCACTTATGTTCATTCATTTTAGCAGCACTGGTTGTTAAATAGTTGCAATCTGTTTTTGAACAATGAAAATGAGCTCTTGATTTCAATTGACAACTTAGATTGGGGCATCTGTTAGCTTTGTATAACACATATCCGTAGTTAACACCGTGTTTATACTTGACTGGAGGTGAGAAGAGACTACTCCTGGTGGGAGTTGTGGGACTTTTAATGACTAAATCGTCATCAATTCGGCCAATTGCAGGTGACTTCTGGTGCTTCATCTGATGCATTTTCATGTAGTGTGAATGAAAAGAACTCAAGACATGGCCACAGTATTCGTCATCTTTAATACTCTGTAAGAAGAGAAAGATAACACATATGAAACCATGTATTTATTATAATACAAACCATGATGAGGGAACAATACAACCAGTACAAAAAATAAAATTCTAACGTGTGCGTGACCAATTTTATTTAAACAGTCTCAATGGCTAAGTACTGGTTTGCTTAAAAAAGCCAAAATTACAACTATTGCATAAAAATGTTTTATCTACACAAATCTTAAACTGTATCAAAGCAAGTATATCTGTTGAGATTGGAACCTTATTATTTGCAGTTACAAATAATTTGATCAGCTTTTATAGATATTTGGCTTATCAAACCTTGGGGTGGGGGTGGGGGTTGACTTATCTATAGGTTTGACTGTACAAAATACACCCATATTGCAGTGTCTATATGTTATTTAAATGAGGAGATATAGAGGTAGGACTTCAACATAGCTCTTCGTATCTAGGCAAGGACGTCTTACTATCAATAGCTGTCACATTCACTAAGTTGACTTACCAGCAAACTAAACTGTATGTGACCATAATCTGAACTTTCAACCATTAGGAATATAACAGATTCAAAATCCAACTAATCATAAACTTTGTTTGTAAAAATATTGAATGATAAACTTACCCAAACACAGTGATAGTGTTGTTGTGGATAATTGACACAATTGCGATAATATGAAATACAGCTTTGGCCATACTGGAAATATCGAAATCCAAACTCCTTAGCTTCTTCACTTAATTCATGATATCTACAATAAACGATAGATAAATTAGTAGGCACCTGAGATACGAAACCCATAACGCCCAAGATACTGTACCCAAGTCGCCCAAGATACTGTACCCAAGTCACCCAAGATACGATACCCATGTCACCTGAAATACGGTACCCATGTCACTCGAGATACTGTGGTACCCAAGGCACTTGAGATAAGGTATCCAAGGCACCCGAGATACGGTACCCATGTCACCCGAGATATGATACCCATGTCACTCGAGATATTGTGGTACCAAAGGCACCCGAGATACAGTACCTAAGGCACCCAAGATACGGTACTCATGTAACCCAAGATACGGTACCCATGTCACCGGAGATACGGTGGTACCCAAGGCACCCGAGATATGATAGCCAAGGCACTCGAGATACGGTACTCATGTAACCAGAGATACGATACCCATGTCACCTGAGATACAGTGGTACGCAAGGCACCTGAGATATGGTACCATGTCACCTGAGATACGGTAGCCAAGGCACTCAAGATACGGTACTCATGTAACCCAAGATACGGTACCTATATCACCTGAGATACAGTTGTACCCAAGGCACCCAAGATATGGTAGCCAAGGCACTCCGAGATACGGTACCCAAGTCACCCAAGATACAGTATCCAAGTCACCCGAGATACAGTGGTACCCCAGGCACTTGACTTACAGTACCCAAGGCACCCGAGATAAGGTACCAACAGCAGAGGTATACCTGGTCAACTGAATACATTATTTATCAATTCAAATATAAAGTAAGCTAACCACTCTATTTGGATGTTTAGACAAGCTGCGTTTTTTGCCAAGGGGTAAACAACACATAGACTGCTAACAAAAACTGTTCACATGTTATTAACATAGGTACATAGATTATGTGACCTGACATATTACTGGTAAGCTGATTCTGCAACTATGTTTAAATTACACCATTTATCAGTAAATTACACACAGATAACTTACCTTGCATGCTTGTTGACCCCATCTTTTGATCTGAATAGTTCATTACAATCAGAGACTTGACAGTGATAATGATCTTTATACAGCATATGACAACGAGCCTCACAGTGATCATTAGCAGTATATCTGTAACAGAAAACAAAATGTCAGAAATTGGTGAAGATCACTCGAGTAGACATGAATTATTTAATACCTGTTGATTGTTTTTAAGGTAAAGAAGGATTGTGCCTTCGTGTTGAGGAAGTAAACAATATAGATGGTTGTGATGCCAGACTTTGGGAAAGGGATGATCCATTGAACATGAAGTTCAAAAGATTATCTCACAAAGTGGAAGTGTGTGTGAATGTAGATCCATAGACTTGGCCAAAATTTGTAAATGTCAACAACACTGAAAAAGTGGCCCTTTTCACTGAGTTTAAATTTCGCTGATTTACCATTCCAGGCATATTCAGTGGGTTTTAAATTCACGGTTTTATCATTTAGATAATGTATTCTATGCTCAATTTTACATATTCACTGGGTTTTAATTTAGCGCATTTTCCAGGCAGCGAAATAAGCAAAATTAAAACCCAGTGAATAATTAACCCGTTCACAGTAAGTTTAAGACAGCATGTGTTGATGCTGAGAGACGCAGTCAAAGCAAAGGGTGCTCACCTTGTTATATATTTTTGCCAGCTTTCAGGTATTTTAATTCTTAGTGTAATAGGGGGCTTTGAATCATCTTTAATTAACGATGGCTGCTCTTCTTCACCAACCTCTACTGGAGGGCTGATTTCAGAAGGTGCTGGAAGGTTAAGTGAATCACTTAAACCATCATCGTCTTTAGTTTTATCACTGATCGCTGTATTGATTTTGGCAAACGCAGGCGGCAATTCATCTTCTTGCAGTTCTGTTGTGGAATCTTTCTCATCCTCATTTTCTTCTTTAAAATCAGGAATTGTGTCCAAAGACGTGTCAGGTGTTGGCTCCTCCAGAGCTTCCATCTTTATTTTCTTTTTATGATAGTAATCAATTAAGTCAGAAGGAAGATCTTCTTGTGAAGCAGCAGCCAATGTATAAGGACGTTTTCTTCTTTTGGCCTGCTCAAACTGAATTAGCCGATCACGCCGTTCGTGTTTGCGCTTATGTGACTGCATCTGGTTTGCAGCAGTGAATGTGAAATCACAGGCTGGACGGATACAATGAAAGTGATTGGTGTTCTGAGAATACCTACAGCCAGCAATTGTACAAGTCTGAAACATTAAAAGACACACATAACATCAAAGTAAGGTATGAAAAATAATCAACAGTGATTGCATTAACACAAAATGCCCACATTGACAAGTCTGTCAAACTAGTATTTCTCCATCTCATGAGACATATTTAAACAAATAACACAAAGCATTTGGACATTGTTATACCAGGTAGTAAGTAGAAATTGCTTTTACCTCATGTTTGGAAAACTTCTTGAATCCTTCTTTTTTATACTGATCATCCCTGACATGATAAACCTTGTGCTTCTCAATATCACATTTGTTTTTAAATGAGAAATCACAGCCAGGACGTCTGCAGTGAAAATGTGTGGTCTTCTGAGCATAAAAACCACAACATAGTGAGCCACAATCCTCAGTAGCACGGAATCGCTGGAATCCATCACTGATCAATGCTGCATTCTTCTTATGAAAGTTTTCATGTGTGATGACATCAGAAGTACTAGTGTATACTTTACTACAACCAACCTGTAAAAAAAAGTTCTTATGTAGGATGCATAGATTTGCTTCAAACTTACTATATACATATTAAATTTGCCAGAGCCATGACTGATTGCATTCATCTCACATAAATATCAGAGAAATAATAATATTTATATCAATTCCATAGTGTGAAATTAGATTTGCGATTGGAAAATAAATAAATAAATAAAATGGACTTACCTGCATGCAATGATAATGAGTATGTTTTTTATTTAATGAACACCCAGAGTAATACACATTACAATCATCTGCAGGACTGAATCTCATGAAGCCATGCTGCAAAGAATTATCACGTCTTTTATGCCAGTTATAATGTCTGATGACATCTTCTTTCCTTGTAAATCGCTGCAATTCAATATCAACATGACAGTCAGATTAATAGGTAATTTTACGTTAACTGTAAGATCTCACGTAATGTGTGAAAGGCGTGGATTAAACTGAACGTCTGTCGCAAAATTCAAATGATTTGATTTTGAACTTGAATTTATTTTTTTCATAGTTTAATGTTGGCATTGAGATACTCTTACTTCATCAAAACTGACCAGCACCAAATGTGTGATAGGATCATTATTAGGCATGGAAATACCCCCCAAAAAAACTTTTGTGTTTGTTGAATCCTGCACAATGTTTTGACGCTACTATGCCTTTGTTTGTCCTTATCAGTAGGCTACTACAGTTCTGTTCATACATAGCAGTGGTTTATATTTTCACATATATTCATTGGGTTGTTTCAATCTTGTTCACACTATCTCACCTTAGGGTTAAACACGCAACTTGAGGTCAAGACCTGACCTTTGACTCTCAGCTAAACTAACCCGGGTTAATATGTTCACATGTTTTTCAACAGCAGGTTAAAATTTAATCCAAATTGAACCCTCATTTTTCTATATGTGTGAACATTGTATAAATACCAGGGTCAGGGAAACAGAATTTGGGGTTAACACAACATGCACTACAATTGAACAAACATTATTTCATAAAGGAAGGGTCCTTTTTAGTCTACTGAATAAACTGGTTCCGTTGTTAACCTATATTTCCAACAATTTTTGAAGATTCAATGACAATCAATGTCATTTTGTAAGAGACAAATGTTGGCGAGTTCTGTAGCAGTGATAAACGGGATCCTACAGCAAAGTTTCTGTGGCTTTGTGGCAAAATTTTGTCTACAAGAATGCAATAAAATCCACAATTCGAGAAACTTTGTAAGTGCAAAAATTGACTGGTTAATATGCCATATTGATTGTGTTAGTGCATGCAAGTAGGCATGTAAGTGTTAACAATAAAAGAGTGTATTACCACGTAATTGCACTCATCGTCCAGGCAGTGATAATGTTCTTTATACTGGTAAATGCAATGCATATGTCCACAATGTACACTTGGTGAAAACCTATAAAACAATGACACAAGTATAGAATATGTTCTTTGTTCATCAAGTGCTCACCAGTGAGAAGAGATTTCATCAATTCCCTGAACAACTTTTGTCATTGTTCACAAAATAAACTTTCCATATCTATTCAAATAACGTTCTAAGTCTTAGTTATGGATATTTCATCCAAAACAGAAATATACAAAAATTGCCAATAAAATTTGGTGACAAAATAAAATGGTGTTCAAAGAAAGATTTAAAGTCATTCAATGCATTCAATAGGCATGAACAATTAATCAAAGTTTTTGTTTCTAAAATGTATAACTATTTTTTTTATCCAGGTAAAAATATTTTTTGGGAGAAAAACTGTCTGGGTTTTTTTGGAACTATAGGAATCCACATATTATTTCATAAATAGTATTCGTCAGAATTTACCAACTTTGTAGGATTCTTCCATCTTACGTAACCAACATGACAACTATTAGTAAATGGCTAAAAACTCAATTTATAGATGTTTATTAATTTTTTGGGCAAAACGTAGTTCAATGATCATATTTTTTATCTGGATTTTGTGAGTAGCCGCCAAAAACAAAGATAAACGTGGCGATATTCTTTAACGGTAGGTAACTAACTACCTCAAGGCTCTCTAGCTTAAAGAAAATAAATAATTATAACAGTTTATTAAACCAATATTTGCTGTGTGTGACAAGACATAACAGCAAACACACAGCAATGTATCTACTCACTTGGCAATGTATTTCAGGTAAATATTCATTTCATTGGCTTGTAAGATTGACGTCACGTCTGCCTTTTCTGCTTTTGTTGGTGACATCTTCTTTGGATCATCAGATGAAAAACACGCCTTGATATACTCGGAAGACGACATAGATGACCTGCTTCCTGGTTTTATCTGACGATGTTGCGAACTTATCTTGATACGATCTTTCAATCTTTCAATATTGATCAAATCATACTTAGAAGGTCTAGGGGTTCTTTTCATCACACCACTGTTGATAATGCCACTCTCGATATCAACACTTTGTTTTTTTGCCAACAAATTGCGATTTATAAGTTCCTTGACGGTGACATTACCACTCTGTTCCAACCTTTTCATAAGATGATCATATTTAGAATTGCCAGCATTTGATAGGATATCACCACTGATGCTTTCACCTACAAATAACACACATTTACAACTTAGACTTCAGTTATACAACAAATAGAGGAATAGGAAGTGTACAATTCTGATAGTCACATCCTTCCATTGACAAAGTGGTTCTGCAACATAAATACTAACAATAATACATAAGTACTATTAAGCATCATTATCATTTTGATGTGTAATAATATTGTTAAGAGATTCACTATATTTTAAATGATTATACAACCAAAAACAATTGTTGCTTTGAATTAATTTTACACATCTAGGTTATTTTTATGTCACAGAAACATTTCAATGATAGAGAGTGTGACTTATGTATAGAAAAGATTTATTACAAGTAACCCCTACAAGGTCTCAAGACTGATGTTTTTGTTCCTATCATAGAATACTGGTAAATTGAAATTGAATATCATATTTGAATGGCAAGGACAAATTTCTGTTACATTAACATCATCAGAGTAACAGGGTTTAAATATGGCAAAGTTTAAGATCCATGGAAGTAAGTAATTCACAATGGGTATCCTAAACTGAATTGAGTACTTACTGTGGAATACTTTATTTTCGCTGGAATTAATTTTCGCTGAAAAGGCTTTTTGGGCGTTTTGCTTGGAATTTATTTTCACTGATTTTTGATGAGTTTAATGTGAAATATAGGAAAAAAAGTATATTCGCTGGATTTTATTTTCACGGAATCATCCCTTCAGCGAAAATAAATTCCAAGCGAAAATAAAGTATTCTACAGTATTACAAATCTTATTTGAAATAACATGTAATATGTATATGTAATAAATTTAGATGGTTATATTAACTAGTATACGATATGCTGCTTGGATCTAACAAGACTACAGCTGTATTATTATATGCGTTGTCTCCGTAACGCCATAAGTTACAGCGTGCCATAATTTTGCAGTATTTTACAGGGTATTTTTATCTTACCATATTAGGAAATGCGAATTCCAAATATGGTAGGATTACATGCGTAAGTGTCCTCTAATAATAAAAACAAAAATGGCTGCCACCAGAGTTTGACCGAACTCAATACAAAGAAGTTCGCTGATTCTGTTCTAAACATTTTGAATTTCAGCATTCCCATGGTGTATCCTTGGAAGGAAAAGATGTATAATAATAAGGTTAGTACGAAAATACCTCAAAGTATGCACTCAGATAGTATGCTGCGCATTGGTCGATACTCCAGCTGTACTGTCTTCGTCCATGCTTTGAGGTATTCTCAGAATAACCTTATATATGACTTAGAACTATTGTTGCTTGATTGAAAAAGTACATAAAAGAAACAGAAAATTGACTGTGGCTGCCATATTTATGCCTCTAAAAAAATGGTGGTGTGAAATACAAGATCATGAGATCCTTATCCTTGTAATTACACCAATCACACAAGTTTTACTAGTTACCACACAGCACATTATTTTTCTAAATTATGAGTGAAATCCATCACTTACCTGCTTCAAGTTTCTTTATATAATAATCATATTTAGAATATCCCTGTGTTTTACCAGTTATTGGATCCACTATAGAGATAATACCAGCATTTCTATTGAATTCATCATGACCCAGTCGTAGTATATTGCCTGACAAGTGCGAACACATTAAATATGAATTACCGGTACAGGTTTAAAAAGAAATTTTCTCTTAGAAAAATACCGGGAAATAATGGGAAGTTTTAGTTGTAGATTGTGTCAGAGATTTAATAAAATAACTGAATAGGGGTTATGACCTTCCACAATTGTCTATACAATGTTATTTACATGTGTATCCTATGAAACAGTTTAAGGATGAAGAAAACAATCAGTAAAAACTTGTAATTATTACAACACTGGAAAATATTGTGTTGGTGCATTCATTATTAGATATTTAGAATCCTTTCTTGAAAGACAACTGATATGAATGTACAAAAATGAGACTATGTGAAGTTACAACATAAACCTAAAGGAGAGGGATAAAAAACTTGAGCCAAGACAATGGAAACATAAATGACATAAATATCAGTCTTTAAAACAGGAATACATGGCATAAATATTATTAATAATATCATAAATAACTAAATAAAGTGAATATGTTTATTGTATTTAGAAATATAAGCTTTATTCATATTGAATTTGCCCAGTCCACATGTAGGACTGGTTGCAAATGCAGTGCATTCATACAAATGTATGGTGGAAAAGGAACCTACATAGACAATGAATCTGATCACAATATTCATACCATCATGTCTTGCCTTTCTGAAATGGGTAGGATGCACCAATTTGAAATCAAATTAAGACTAGCAGTCTGTCGGCTGAGATAGCTCCGCTGTTATCAATGCACATTACAAGTAAAGAACAGAAGATATCATTCAAAATAAACAATATGTTTAGTATTAAAGCAATCAGACTTTTTATAACTTTTTATCAAAAATATTCATTAAAATTAGATAATTGAAGAACAAAATCATCACAAAATGAACAAATCTGAGAGAGGTCTACCTGTATGCTTATGTAGTATATATAATATCAAAGCAATTAGACTTGCGGTTTTTAACAAGAAGTCGAAAATATCACTTTTTACCAAAAATGACAAGAATATTCATGAAAATTAGAAAATTAAAGATATCATCACGAAATGAACAAATTTGAGAGTGGTCCACATGTAGTACCTATATATATAATATCAAAGCAATTGGACTTGTGGTTTTTAACAAGAAGTCGAAAATATCACTTTTTATCAAAAATGACATAAATATTCACCAAAATTAGAGAATTAAAGATATCATTACAAAATGAACAAATCTGAGAGAGGTCCACATGTAGTACCTACATATGTAATATTAAAGCAATTGGACTTGCGGTTTTTAACAAGAAGTCGAAAACATCACTTTTTACCAAAAATGACAAAAATATTCACCAAAATTAGAGAATTGAAGGTATGATCATGAAATGAACAAATCTGAGAGAGGTCTACCCAAGGTACATATACACCAAGTATCAAAGCATTCAGGCTTGCAGTTTTCAAGAAGAAGTCGAAAAAGTAAAACATTGACACGGACGACGCCGGACAATCACTCATATGATAAGCTCCGCTCGACAAAGTCGACAGCGGAGCTAATAAAATCGTTTTTGTAGGATAGAAACTTTTTGAGGTCAAAACCCACCACCTACAAACTAAAGCAAATAAGTTTTTTATCCGACATCGATCTTTTGACGTCGTCCCTTACAAAAGACAGATTTAAACGTGATCACTGCAGTTTCAATATGACATCATTATTTTTCAGAGGAAGACAGTTATAATATTAAGACGGTAAACATGTATATTATTTTGCAATTGTGATTTATTTTCATGGTTGTCCTATGCTAACTATAAATCTTTGCCAACTAGTAAACTAATGAAAATTTTGATTGTCCAAAATATCACCTTTTCTTTTATTATGAATGTACAACAATGTATATCAGTGTATTCATTACTAAACTGTCTTTTTTGTAAAACAAATGAATGATGTCTTAATCAGCAAATCTAGTGTCATGCAAGTAATCATTTTGTGTTCTTAACCTTCTCATTGTTCATAAATGGTCAAATAAACTTATAGTACAAGGTCAAGCTTTATGTATGAGGTAGGGCTTCACTACCAACATCTGAATATCAGTAATTAGTTTTCAATTTGAGTTTCAATCACACTTTCAGAGTCCAATCAACTATAATACAAATGATGACATAGACCATTACACAGACTAACAGAAAATAACATTGAGGAAAGGGGCCAGGTTAAATTTTATTCATTTATTATGGAAATATAGCTTTGAAAATAGGCTCCTACATTTACTACATTTACACCACCACATCCGTTCCATACAGCCACAAAAGATTTGAATGAATTTACAAAATAAAATGAATTATATGTGTGACCTCCATAATAAGTACATTCCACCAAACATCCCAACATAGATTATGGGGGTAATTTGCATAGTACATTTAAAGGTCAGCTCCCATAACCCATTTATAGATGATATTCTGCTCATTTTGATGGCACATGTTTAAATATATAGTTATAACACATCATTATATCTTTCATACAAAATATAATCACAGAAAAACAAAAGAAGCTACTAGTTGAGCACAGAGTATAGAGATGTGGAAGCATGACAAGGTCATGGAAATGATATATATGAACTGTAATAAAAAAAAAAAAGATTTCACTCTAGATTTAGAAGTGACAAGCTACATGGCACCTCTATTGTGCTAACATTTGTACTTGGAAAGATGTAAATTTGGAAATATACTATATTTATGATATCCTAACAATGATAGCGTTATTAAACAGAATATTGAATGGAAACAATTTCAATTTGATTCAAAAATTAAGTCCTATATCTTCATTTACTGGGAAATATTACTGGGTGCTTTTTCGTTGAACTATCAATAATTGTTTTGTGAGTTTCAAGTGCGGGTGAAATGTGAAATTAATAATGCTACAGGCAACAGATTATTTTTGTACCAAGTTGAACGTTTATCTGCAAACACTTGATGTTGTATAAAATGCTATTAATTGTTTTATGACAACAGACTATGAACAAGAATGCCAAAATAGCAGATAGTTATGACAAAATACTATCATGTGACACAGAAATCCTCAAATGGTCTATTTTATTCATGCTAAAAACCCTATTATCATGGTTTTTTTTCAACACAACAAACACAGGTCAGGCATCAGTATGAACACACTATGTCGCTACAAATTAACTATATTACTGACACTTATATGGAAATAGACAACAAACTGATAACAGCCATAGAAACTAAGATATTACACTTTACTTTGGTTGACTGGTATTCACATGAGAGTTGCCCTTTGACCAGGTATGTCAAGAAGGCCATATAAACTCATTAGGTCCAGGTCATATTGACCAAGAATGTCATTATCACTAATGAAAAGTGATTTTTCAATGTTAGCAGTGGCCACATTACTTGCAAGTAAGAAATAGCTCAGAAATTACAGAGAAGGAAAAACAGTAAAGCTAAAAAAAGGTTGATACTTAACAGACCTTGTTTGTAAACTGTGAAATTAGCCAGTGTTATGGATAAAGCCAGTATTAGTATGGATGTCATCTGTATTCTAAAAATTTTCATCATACCAAGATTTGCTACATATTCTGTACATGTAAGTTTAACATATGTATAATAATTGTACTCACTTAAACTGAATTTATCCAATGATAGACCTTCTGTGATATCTTTATCTGGTTCTGCATCATAACCATAGAGTGAGAGCAATTCCTTCATAGTATCTGAAGCATAGTCACGTATAACGGAAGCATCTGATGAATATGTAGGTTCAATATTTTCATTATTTGACTCCATCAATTCATCTAAACTACAAGAATCATCCCCATTAAATGTATTTTCTGTGTATTCCGCGGTATCTTCCTGTTCTTCACTACCCAAGAAACTGAGTTCCATTGCTGCCTGACTGCTGTTCATTTCCACTTCCTCCATCATCTCTTGTTCATCATCATCACCATTAACTATCAACCTCCTCTCCATAGTATCCACATCCTCATCACTGCTTTCATAACGATCAGAAACATTTGAACCTATCACAAAGTCATTTTCAGTGCTCTTATTTAATGTTTCAGTTAATAAATCATCGTCATAGAAACTAGTTTCAGCATATTCTTGGATCATTTTTGGATCATAAAGAATGTTATTGTTGTCCTGAGTTTCTTTGGAAGCACTAGATAGTGATGAAACAGACCCAGCATTATTCATGGACAAATCAAGAACACCGTTCTCATCTTCTCTTTCTGAATAAGAAATACTATTGTCCCCTTCCTGTTCTACTCTACTATCATTCACCGACCAGTCCCTTGCTGTGAATTCCACCTGACTGGAATCCTCAGAATTTCCAATTTCAAGAAAACTCTGTTGACTTTCTTCTATGTTACCATGACAACCAGTAATGGAAGATTCAGATTTTATACTGCTGATGTCACTTCCTGAGTTTTGTACATCATTGGATTCAATGGTTCCTATGGCAATACAGTTGCCTGTACTGCCCTCAATTTTAGATAATTTGTTACAAATTTCTTCAGATGTTACCATGGCAACTTCACTGATTTCTTCTACATGCGAAGATGGAGTTGTTATGGCAATATTATCTTCATTGCATTTTTTTACATCTTCTACCTCTAGTCCTGAGAGTACTGGTTTGTTGTTCTCCATTGCTGGTTCAGATGTGTTCAGTGGGTCGTCATTTTTACATTTTAATTTTTCACATATAGCATCTAGTTTAAAAGATGTTCTGTTGTTTTTTGACATTGTAGGACTGGCCATCATGGATGTTGCTACCTCTCACCTCTCATATCTGTAACGCTCTGCAAATAAATAAATTTCAGTTAGTTGTATAATACGTAAACATTTTGGTTTTCTATGCATCAAAGCAAATAACAATAGCAAACAATGGAGTGTAAGAACAAATTTAATTACAAACCATTTCACAGAAGAACTCTGATTACTGTACATATATTTTAACTGAATTTTATTTTTTGCTTAGTTTCCAATGAAAAAAAAAGAAATGTGTTTAGGTCATTTACAAAATACAATGGTTGTATGGCAGTCACCGACCATTCATCTGATGTGTAAATTGGCTTAAATCATAAACAATTAACTAGTATATATTTTCTATGATGAATAACAGAAAAAAAAAGAAATATAAAATTAAAAAAAATAATAGTTAATAGAGTGTATAATTAATTGAAATAGTCACACAACAATACTTGACTTTTCAAATTTTATAAAACATAACATTTGAATTCCAAGGCAACAACAAGGCAATGGATGAAGTGTAGGAATGTTACACCAACCCTTAGGGTCACACAGCAATCTTAGTTTGTTTCAAATATTTTCCAAACTAATGCAACCACACCAAGCAAATTTAATACTTGTTACATATGTAAGAGGGGAGCCAACACTGCACAATATTTTTGTACAATTCTTAGAATATTTCTACATTTATGATACATGCATCGAAGCATTTACACAGTCTAATCAAGCATGCATTTATAACTAACATAATAAACTAGGTTTAAATTTCCCCTCAGTATTAACAAAAAATACTCTTGAGGGAAACAAGTCATATTTTTTAGTGACATCAATATAAGAAAGTATAACTGTAGCAGTTTCAGAATATGAGCAGATTTATAACAGGCCTGACTAATCATCACCAAATCCAATTAGGTTAAAGATTTTATAAAACCTATTTAAAAAAGAGCTGATTAACAGGGAAAAAACCCACAAATTATACACTGAGGAAAGTGACCAATTTAGAAAACATTTCACAAGTCACATTATTATTATTATGGTGGGTATTTGTAAGATCATGAGAAATATTCCAAATTTCATCAGAACAGTGAACAAAGAATGCTAAAAATTTGGGGCCATTTATGGTAAATTCCGTACAAAACTGAGCAAAAACTAATTTAGTCTATAGCAATTAGGCCAACTGCCATGAATGTGATATCAAACAAGGGTTTCATATTTTATTATAAATTTACAGACATTATTTATAGAGCACATCAAAATTAGAATCTCAATTTTTTTTAAATCCAAGCTGGTGATGAAAATGACAGGAGTTTATCAGGGCAATTTGCATATAAAACTGTATTCAAATTAAAATGATAAAATCAAAAATGACGTCAGCATGCATTAAAGCTAAAATTTAACATTATTTCAGTTGCCATTGAAAAGGTGCAGCAGGAATTATAAAAAAAACCAGCATGAATATAAATAATAGAAATAACATGTTAACATTGCTTTTTTGATAGCAAAAATGATGGAGAATTTAATCGTAAGAAAACCTTGCCATTATCCACAGGGTCAAGGATTCCATAATTTTATATATTATAAAATTGCCTATATCATTTATTACTATACATTATGCAGCTCTATTTAATTTTAAACGACAACTACCAGGATCCTAAAACTACCAGCATTTTACAACAGTCTATAAGAGTGGTCATTTGAATTATTTTAACTTCACATACAATAAGGGTTTCAAAGTTACAACAAAGGGAATACAAGACTTGAATTGAAAGTGTGCTACCGTACCTGAGCCACAATATAATATCCCAAAGGAATAAGTGAAGACATTTCAGAAATGCACCTTGTTAGTGAGAACATACTCATGCCTCATACTATCTGTTTGGTAGCAAGGAGTCAGAGGCAAGCATCATGACAAGAGAATTGGCAAGCATGACAATAGAATTGACAAGCAACAAATTAATCAATTGAAACAATTTAGAAATAACAGACCCCCCTCCCTTAGTTTCTAACACCTTATCTAAACACAAATTAATCTTAATCCAAGTTCATTGATTCATTATCAGAGTTTGTTAAAAATAATCGCCCTTTTAACACATGCTTTCAGTTGTGAATTGGAAAGAATAGCTGTAAAAACATTTGTTGATGTAAACATTACAAACGGTGACATCTCCACCTTAATACTTATAAGAAAATACATTTTCATAAAAAAAATGTGGCGTACAGCTGAGAGGAAGGAAGTCTACTGGAATGCTTGGTGAGGGGATTAAATGTGCCTGCTAGGGGGTCTAGCAGTAGTACAAAACCTTACCCTTATGTGAATAATTAGTGAGAATTTGTAAATATGTCTCAATATAGGAAATATTTTCTAACATTTCTAAACAGTCACAGAATAACAAATGTCCATCACTGTCACCACCCTCTTCAACTTGTGTGTGCAAAACAATTTACAGATACAGAATACAGATTGGTCCTGATAATTATCTGTGAGTGTTGAGTACATCGATTATTACAAATTGTTATGTAACTGAAAAATTAAAAAAAAATCAGGACAAACTTTAGAACACACACAATATAAATGATGCATAATTGTTGTTAATTTTGTATTGACTTCTAGCATAGAAGAGTATTTGCTTGTTCACATCAATCTGTTGCTGCCAATAAAACATTTTAAGCAATCTCCATCCACCAAGAAATATCTAAATGCAGCCATTTTAAGGAAAAATAAAGAATAAAGCTTGTATATTATTTAACATTTCCTGTTTATGTGGGTTACTGCATTCTCCTTTACATACCAATAATGCCAATTGTGTTGGTGATAAAGTTAATTTATACAGGCTGTCTGCCTGTCTGCCAGTATTCAAGGCATATTTCATCAAAAGGCTGGCTGGTAAATCTGGCAATAGTGACTAACACACTAATAATATCAAAATGACATTCTCAACTTTATTGATGGTCAGCTCCTTTCTGTCCAAAATATTGGGGGAAAAAACATCAAGCCAATGATAAATTCAGTAATATTTAAATTAAGAATAAAAAAATAATATGAAAAAATAGCACTGAAATTTGGTGAGTAAACTTATGGTGCTGACAACTTATGCAAGTTAGATTGAATGGAATCAGAAAAATCATTCCTGTAATTGATATGTTTTTTTAAAAAGTGAAGTCATTTTATAAGAAACCATAACAAAAAGTATAAGACAATCAGCCATTGAATTTTTAATTTCAAATTATCAGGAGTATTAGTAATAGGTAGGCCAGTCACAGAAAAACAAGCAGTCTGTTTTCACAAAAAGTCTTGAACCATAATACAAAAGTTGTGTCAATGTTCAACAACAACAAAAATGGGATGACGAATGGTAGAAAAACTACTGAACACAACACAACAAATAACAAGAAGTAAATACTAGAGAAAACAAACACATTGAAGCAAAATAAATGAAAATCCGAACATAATTTAATTGTCAACACAACCACATGGCAAATATCTTTTCTTTTTTTTATTGGATTTCTGTATCATCTCTAGGTAGTTAAGTACTAGGGCTCATAATTTATGAAGGCCATTCTATAGATGCCCTACCTGAATACCCTTCAAAATATTTACTTCACAATTTTAATTGATATAAAGCATTTCTAGAAGTTATGGCCTTGAAATTGGGTGCCCTTGGAATACTGAAGTTCAAGCCTTGAAGTACATGTGGTTGATTACAAAAGGTGACTGGTAAATATCTGATTCAAGCCAAAACATATTTAAAATACAAGATTTTTACATTTCATATTTGGCATTTAGGAATGCTTAAAAGCATTTCTTTTAGTGCAAGTTTTAAAACACATTACCAGAACCTCTAAATCACAACCTTGAACAATCTAAAAATAATAAATCTAAAAAAAAAACAGCCTGCAAAATACATTACTACTCACTCATACAAGCTACAATGTTATAATTGTGCACAGAAGATTGTAACCATAATTCAGCTAAATGGGGTCACAAGTTTATGACAAAATTGCTATGAAATATTTCAATCAGTGTTCCACATAGAGAAAATTACGATTTATTAAACACAAGGCTGATCTCAAAAAAACTAAAGGCTGGTCAACAAACTAACTAATAAAAAAAACAGCAAGATTAGCCAAGATTTGAAAAGTAAATGGTGGTTAGAAAGAAATGGCTAAAGGTTAGCGTATATAATCATAGCATTCAAATCTGCTTTTATTTGGTTGCCAAGGCGATGCAACAATCACCAAACATTAGACATAGTAAACCCTATTCACTGGAATAATTACATTTGTATAGGGCTCCTGTCTCCAACAATAAATATCAAAACCAAAATAAACTGACAAATAGGTCTTTCATTATAAAATAATTAAAATTGTATATAAGTATTAAAAATATCAAAAAAAACTTCAAACTCTAAGTTGCAACAATAGAATGTCTCAGACCAAGAATACAAAAATCAGTCAGTCTTGTTAAACTACACAAGACACCAATTTACACTATTCTTGTGCCTGTTTGCCAAGTCAAACTATTTAAATATTCCACAATCTTTTAAATAAAGAACAAAGGTCATGTCCATAATTGCATTCTAGATATTCCAAATAAGTGCTATGAAACATGTGCTACAATTATTATTACAAGTACAAAAACATTTTTGATAATTTAGACATAACCAAGAAAATTATAAAAAATGATTACTGTAACCATACATAATCATACACAACCCTGATGAATAATTCCAATACATGACAAATATTTAATTTGAGATTATATTATTACAATCTAGTTGCCATGGTATTTTACTAGTTTTGTAAAATAAGCAATGCCATTCTATTCTAGATGGTTTGGTTACTAGGTAGAGAAGGAGTCTATTGTTCCATTGTATGACTGTTTTCTTCAGATCAATAAAATGTTGCTATGGCAACAGGAAGACTTTGGAATAAAAACAGCAAAACACTGAAAAACAGAAATATGTTGAGTGCATTGATATGCAAACTACGCAAGTTGGCATCGAACCAGGTTACTTCTTTACAAGCGTGACCCGAGGTCACATCGTACGTAGTTAGCTGTACTTTTGCACATTTTGGGACCTTTACGTAATTTACAATGTCACTATAACAAAAACATGGAATAACACCCTAAATACCAGTGCAAATGGCGGTGACACTGAAACGTGAATAATCAGCATGCATGATCGGTAAAAATAGATCACTGAAAATGCCAAGCTGGTTTCATTTTCAGCTACTTACAGTAATGAGATTTTACGCGTTTGATCTAAATCTGAGCTTCTATCGGACAGTTGCAAACTGCGCACACTATGACAATTTCCTCAAGTTTGATGAAAAACAACAATTACGAACCATGACACGGGATGGTATGCATGTTGACATAGAAAATGAGAATAACCGATAATTCGGCGGGAAAATTCTATCGAACACTGGCCCAAAACAAGCGAAGTCCGATCGGTGATTACGTTCTAAATTCTCCCAAGTCATGTTTAGGTGAAAAAATAGCGATTTCCACTACGAGTCGAATTACAAACCGTCATTCTAACGATTCGGAGACCATCTGAACATAAACAACAATCCCCCATTTCATTGCCATCAATGATAAAGGTCGAATAACTGCTGAAATTCCAAAACGCGGCTTTTTAACAGGAAACCATGAGAACATTTTTCAACATGACTGCTGCTATAAAGTTGGGTGGTATTTAAATTTCGACGTCGAACAACGGGGCAGACATCATAAAAGTAACCAAAATTCCGAACATCTACTAAAGTCACAGTTCTCTATGACAACAACAAGTATGACAATAAAAGTCTTGATCCATTTCGACAGAAATTAGGTTCAAAGAAAGGCGAAAACTTACTTACTTGGGCCACATTTGAATTAGCTTTCAATGAAGACACTCACGAGCTGCTAAAGGCGATCGATGTCACTCGTACCAACCAATAATACCAATTACAGTGGAACCTATAATTATCATCATAATATGCATTAATTTCTAAGAAATTACACAATATAATATAAATTTACTTCCATTCAGCGTCTGTTATGGTACAGAATGAAATATAAAGTAACATTTTTGAAATGTTGGAAATCAATTCTGTACGAGGACAGCCCCAATTACCCGACCACCTTTGCGCATCTCCTAGACGACATTCGCCATTTTGAATTACAACAAATCGTACGAAACCTCTACATCGAAGAAAATACCTGAATCGACTATAGAATGTCTGATTATTCTGACCAAGAGTACGACGAGGAACAAGAAGGTGGTGAGGAGGCAGAAAATGAGCCGGAAGGAGAGGGAGACGGTGAAGAAGGAGAAGGAGAGGGCGAAGAAAGGGAAGAAGAGGAGGTAAATATTCATTTCGTATATCTTGGATATGTCATACATTGTATGGCATGTAACTTGTTCCCACTTGTGTTGTGTTTTGTTTTACCTGACACTTCATCCCAACTATAGCCTCTATTACTTGTTATGATGCATTATCTTGCAAGTACAATTTGCTAACTATTTGTGACAGACAACTGTTTTTGATCTGTGTTATAAATTGCTACCCACTGACAATTTAGTAAACATGGTCGGACACGGGACTACATGCATGAACCCCAGCTAGAGTACATCGTGACATTACTAGTATATACAATTATTCACCCCAACAGAGGTGGACATACCGCTGTTGAGATGAACATTTGTATTATTATACCGAATAAATCTTAAAACAGAAATTGTGGCACTCAATCATGGCAATCTTTCAGGTCACGCTCATAGATCTGAATGTATGTATGAACACAAATATACAAGTTGAAAGAGTTCAAGAGCAGTGATTGAATGGTTGTGTTGATAAACCTAATTACAGCAGCTTTAGCCTGACGAAGAATTAATTTTTGCAAACTTGATGTCTTTAAAAAGTTTCTTCAATTTCCATTGGATCCGTTCAGTTGTTCTTTTTGTCGCATAATTTTGGATACCATTTTTCTGTTTCCTTGTGGGCTATCAATCTGTCGCAGTATTTCTTTACTGTGCCAAATAAATATTAGGACATGTACCCCTTCATCAAGCTAGAAATTGCATGAATTTATGAACGATGTTGTCTCTGCCATAATTGAAATGATAGGCCCAATGCATATACACGGTACCGGGGGTGTTTCACTTTGGTACCTCTCGGCAAGTAAATTCGGGCCTAAAAGTGACCTGTGAATGGTGGAAATGGTTAGAAACATGTACAGTTCATTAAATACATGGTGTACAGCAAAAAAAAAAGATATATTTGTAGACAGCTCATCTAACATGTAGTGGTACCTCATTTGGTTCATGATTCAATATTTGAATTTTGAGTTCATATGAGCTACCTCTTCTTCTCTTTGATGAGCTGCAATTCTATTGCACTCAATGTTCTTGTTATATGATCTCCCAAACTCTGCTGGGGTTGTAGATGTCCCTATAATTTTTAAAGTTAGCATAGCTGAGCAGTTTATTGATTCACTAATAATAATGTAACCATATAACGTCAAAGTGTGTGAATTGCTGATGTTGAGTTATTATATTAGCTCATTCTTACTATATTTTACTATATTTTTTTATTAGACGCATAAAATCCTTAGGAAAGGATAAAAAGGGTCTTACAGAAAGAAATAAAAAAAAAAACTACAATCTAAAAAAGAAAACAAAAAATAAAAACTTTTCTAAAAAAAAAAAAATAAAACAAGTCAAAAACAACAAAATACAATTTGCAGCCAATGGTGAATACAGAATATAATAATAACTTTATTACACTACTAAAAAACCTTCAGAGGGTTTTTGTATAGAATATAGAATGAACACAAAATGTGGCCTAATACACTGATAGTTGTTGCTGTTTTGTTCCATAGCTGTTTTTTAAGAAGACAGCTAAGGCTGGTGCTAGAGTATGGTTTGCCATAATCAAAATGAATTTATTCTGACTATTTTCTTTATCAAAATTTGGAATTTTATTTTGTGCAGTCAGGAATAATTTGTCCCTATGGTGACTGTAAGCTGGACATTTCATTACAAAATGTTGCTCATCCTCAACTATATTCTTAAGTTGAGCTTAAATCAAGAAGATGCCATGGACATATTTAAACTATTTGTAGTCCCTTGTCAACAATTGAAAACAATTGTCTTATCATTAATCAATTTTTCTGAAGATGTTTTGTTGTGAATAAGCCAGATTACTTTGCATAAATTAATTTATGAAACAACAAACAGAATAATGCTGTGCATAGATCGAAAGTGTGATACACATGTCATCTAAAGAACTTGCATCATGAGTAGCCTTTGGCCATTGTCCCTGCACTTAGTAATATGACAATGCCTGGCAAACAAACACAGTCGAACACTGAATTGATTTACTAATTAAACTGACATAAACATAAAATGTGGAAGTGTCTGAACTGTGAGCAGTAAGTTATTATTTCACAAGCTAGTTGAGTATGATTCAAGATGGTGCAACATACAACAAGTGTCTTGCCATTGCTCTAAATGACTTAAAACATTGTACACTATTCAAAATTAAACTGTTCTGCATCCATTGCCAGAAAACCATTACCTTATTATTGCCATTAACAACTAAAGATGCTTTATCATGAATGAGCTGTCTCTTTTCACATGAATTGTGAAATGACAAACATAATGGCATGTTCATAAATTTGAAGTGCACCATTAAGGGTATATATATTTGTTGATACTCTCTCCAATATATACACATCATGTTATCTATAGCATTCACTTCACTACACTTGTTGTTATGTCTTGAACTTATGCTCACTGCTGAGTGTTTTGGGACCATGGCATATGTGAATAATTTTGGGGCAGTATTGTATTTAGAAATGTTTAAGCCAATGATCAAAATTGATCCAAGTATGCTGTGAGAACACTCACCAGTCACAATTTTCAATCATTATGTTGCCATATGATATATTGTTTTCACAATGATCTAAGCTCAGGCACTAAATAGAT